GCTAAGTCCTTCTGGGAGGTCAGTTTTGTTGCTGCCCACCTGGGGCTGCCCTTGGGCCCAGTTTTAGCTCAGCCCAGGTTTTTGTGCCCTTCCTGAATTAAGCTTAGTTCGGCTCTTCTCCAGCTCTGCCACAGACAAATCCAGCCATGGATTCCCTTGATCTCGCCCTGCATCTTGAACCTGGTTCGACCTCAGCCCATCCAGATGGAGGTGCCTGGTGCTGTGGGATGGGCCCTGGCTAGGGAAACCCAGGCCCTTCCAGTCCCCATGGGGATTTTCTATGGGTCCCAGATCTCAGGCTGCTACATTGCCTGATGTTAATTGCTTGATATTCTGTAGGGAGCGAAATACCTGAAGGAAGAAGGAGTTGGTGTGGTGTTTCCAGAACAGAGCAAACATGCTGACATTTACAAGATTCAAAGTTAAATAAATCTTCACAGACTTAGGACAAAGTCTTATTTCTCCTAAGCCACAGCAGCAATTTGCTTCTGGGAACAAAAAGATAAAATTGCGTCAATTCCTTCATTCTTTACACCTACACTTGAAGGCTGGGGCTACAATATTTAATGTCTTTGTAAACTGCAAAACTCTTTTCCTGTTTTTTTTGTTTGTTTGTTTTGTGGGGATTTGTTTGGTTTTGTGTGTGTGGATCTGTGTTTTGGTTTGTTTTTTTCAGTCCTTCAAATCTACTTTTCATTCCCCTGGCAGCTGAAGCTTCCCAGTCTGTTGTGTGGAGTCAGCAAGGTACATTAAGTTAATTCCCTTCCCCTGGGGTAGGAAGATTGGAGCACTCATCTATGCCCTGGCCAATGCCTCAGTGCTTTTGAAAGGAGTGGTGAGTGAGTTGTAGCCAGCAGTTCTTTTTCTTCCTAAAACTGTGGAAGTCTCACACATCTCACAAGATGTGTGAACTACATACAAGCTACATCCTGCACCTTTTTCTTGTGCATAGACCTTCCCTGCTGCATCATAATCTGCGTGTATCACTGATGGGGAACTACTCTAGGGGAGAGGTGAGGGTGGATGTGCTCAATGAAAGCTAGGAGATAACATGCAGATGAACCATGAGCTATGCTTTTTGCTGGCCTTAATTATCTAGAAAACATTCTGGAGAAATGTGTTTGGTCTCTTGATTGCATCTACTCAATATGATCTCTCTAGGCATGATGTCAACTGCATAAGCTTTTTATTATTATTTTATTATTTTTTATTATATTTACATTTATGCAGACCTTCCCACTAATGCATTAATCCTGGTGCAAAGCTCAACAATCACTACATACGTAAAATGTACCTTGAGGCAGAACAAGATGGTTCATTAAAGATGGCCAAACCATTCTAGGGTGACATGTAATACCTGTATTAGCCTTTTTATCCTTGCTTTTCTTTGATTAATTTCTTAACACACTGCTAAATTTGGAAATGTTGTGGTTTGGGGTTTCTTTTCAAGAAGGACACGCAAAGCTACAATCTCTCAAACACTAAAAATAGCCATATGTTTGATTCTGTATGAAGGGAATTGTGCTAAGACTTGCACCTGCCAGGTCTCAATTTAAAACTTTGATTTTTTTGAGCCCTCTGCCTCTGTGCAAAAGTGAGAAATGTTTTTACTCAAATATCAGCCGGACAGTTTTTCTCTTGTTTGGAAATCACTTGTGTGCATCATTTTTCCCATACAGACAATCATTTTGAACTTACAACACTTATTATCATTTCTCCTGCAAATGCAGCCTGATTTGCTGTAGTGACATATATTTTTGGAGAGGTTGGCAGATCAGGTGGGCTAATGGCATTTACAGTGCAGCAAACATGTTAGAACCATCTGCAAGGGCTTGTGGAGCAATGAAGCTGGTGTAACTGAGAATCTTGCCTTCCAATTTTTGGTATAAACACTTCTTAGTCCCTTGGGTAGATCTCTTGCTCAGATAAATGTGGCTGATCACTTTTTTCTTTTTCCAAAGCTTGTAGGAGCTCGTATTCTGAAGCAGCAGAAATAAAGCAGAATTTTCTGAAGAAACACTGCAGTAAGTTCTCCTGCACAAGAACAGCAAACTGAGCTAAGATTTTCAGTTCTGCTGCAGATTGTGATATTGTGACAAATTCTGCTCATCTGACACCATGCACCTTTCCCTACTTGAGACAGAAATGGAGAGGACATAGTAAGCTATAGCAGGTTTCCACGTTGCAGGTTCTCTTTCTGACAAAGCTCTTCCTCCCCTCTGTGGAGAGGTAAAAGAAATACAGCTCTTCCTCTCTCTTATGCCCAGTGCTGCCCTTCAGAAATGGCTGGACAAAAAAGACCCACATCCACAGTCCACACTCCCTTGCCACAGCCACTGTGAATTTAAGGACCATTTTGCCTCAGATGAATGATTCAGCTCCATCAGCATGTTTCTGTCTGGGGGGAGATGAACTGCTGATTTCCCTGCAGTGGTGTGTGATAAATGAAACCAAACCTCAGCATGAAGGAAAAGGAGTGTACCAGACTTGTACAATGGAAGGGCAAAAGGAGCAGCTGAGCTTTGAAGATGAAATAGAAACAATATAGAGAAGTGTTATGAAAGTGCTTGCCTTCAGCTAACATTAGATGGAAGTTATTTTGTGTTTTAACACTGAGTAGAGTAAGTAGTAATGGTAAATTCTGGAGCCTTTGGCTAGGAGCCACTGTGTTTAGATTCACATTTCATACCTCCAAAGGCTTTTCATGCAGGTAAGTGAGAAAAAGGAGCTTTTGTGAAACTGTGGAGTCAGCATCCTTTTCTGTTTTCATTAAACCGCTTTTTTTCATGTATCCCTTGTCAACTCATAGCATTAATTTATTGTGCAGGGCCCTGTCATCCTGATTCAGCACAAACACTGAGTCAGCAGGAGCAGGCAAGCAGGAAAAGCTGTGGAAAGGATGCCTGCAGGGGAGAAAATTCTGGCAGGTTCTTTTGTCTTTGCTCCCCATAAGGCCTTCCAGCTGGGGATGGGGCTTCCTTTCCTCAGACCCAAGGTGGGGGAGCAAAGCAGAGACAGAAAGAAAAGCTAACTGTGGTGCTTTTCTCGGTCTTTAATCATAGCTCCAAGCTCTGAAGCATTATGTCCTCAAGGCAGATAATAAAGGGATAATTTGGTTTTCAAATTACACTTTAAGTGTTACTGTTGTCTGTGACCTGTATTTTTGGTTTATCTGATTGGAGAAAAGAAAAAAAATGTATCTTTTCCTGAAGATAGAACCACTGAAAGGGAAGGAAACAATCTACCTTCTTAAAGCAAAAATAATTAGTGACCAAGAAAGCCATTATAGAGGAGGATTCTACAAGCTCCTCAGTCTATCAAACATCCTTTTAAGACTTCTGGGGGATGAACCCATGTAACCATCACAGAAATATAACTCAGAAATCCAGTTATATTATCTCTGCTCTGGGAATCAAGAGCATCTTCAGTTCATTCCAAGTCCTGGACCTGATAGGCAAATTTTCTACTGTAAATGTTAGACAAGGCTTTTGATCACTTTTTAGTGGTAAATTTTTATATTTTTGTTCCAAGGGCCATGAAGTTTTATTAGCTCTGAGTTTCTGTCTGTAATAATTTTTAAATCTGTTTGTTGAATTCAAGTATGCTTCACATCCAGAGAATATATGAAGTCTTTGATTTGCAAACTGATGGATGATTGGCTTCATCAGCAACTAGTGCCTTTAACAGCAATAAAATCCTTACAACAGCATGATTTACATGAGCAAAGGTACAATGTACTGGGACAGCAGGTTTTAGAAACCCCAAACAACTAAGTGATAAATGAAATCATCACAAAAAGGTGTGCTTTGGACAGAATGCACTACAAAGTGTTTAACCTGAGACAGGTGGTACAGACAGTGCTCTGCCTGCAGAGAGACTAGATGTGTCATTTGGGCAGCAGCTAGTTGAGAAAGGCCAGGAAAAGGAAAATCTCCATTCAGACAGTGAGGAGAAGCACCCAGCAGTTGGGAGGGTGAAGCATTGATACACATAATCAAGGAAGGAGTGGAGTCTAATCTGTGGGAATACCCCTAAACAGGTGTCAATGAGGAATGTCTAGAAATGTTCTGACTCTCTGGTTCTCTCTCACAGACCTTGTCAGACTTCTGAGTAAGACTTCCTTCAGAGTAAAGGCTGAGACAGAGAGTCACATGGAGAACAGGAATTTCTGTCTGCGAAAAAAGTCCTTGTTTAGGGATCTTTACACTTGTCACTCAGAGGTGACAGATGGAGTCACCCTGGGCTCAATCATCACTTATCTGAATGAGCTTAGCTGCAAAAGTGACCTGGAATCTTGTGCTTGGAAGAACACAAGAGGGAACACAATAAGAGAACTCCTATTGCCTCCCATATACCCCCACTTTCTTCCATATGGGGAAGAGGGATTGTGACTCTGGTATTTATAAAAAACTATGGGTTTGCCTTGTCTTTTCCCAAATAAAGCCAAACAAGCTCTGCAGCAAGTAAGAGATGCTTGTAGGAAGCATTCTGTGGACAGTGCTTTATGTAATGCACAGGTCTAATCCATTTGTTCGAATCTGGCAGCTGATGTCTTTGGGGGAGCCTCAGCACCAAAATCCAAAACTTGATCAAGTTTGATTAACAAATTTCTTATCTCAGCAGAGGGTGCATCCTCCTTAACCAAGTGAGGCTCCTCCACCTTCCTGCCAGGCTCCACATGTTTGCCCACTGGGAGCCAGATTTGGAAGGCAGGGTGAAGTGAAAGCAGCGATGCATTGGAAATCTGTCCCTGAAATCATTTGGCATGCAGCAGGCAGCAGCACCGTGCCCTGTTTGTTGTTTTGCTAGAGTTCATGTCTTTGCAGAGCAGGCCCAATTTCTTGTGACTGAACACTAAATCACTTATTTAATTTGGCAGGATTCTGCCATGGAGGCTGGCTGTATTTGATAGGGTGGGGTGTTTGGTCAGGCTGTTGTCTGTGCTGTCAGAGACAGGCTATAAATACACATGTGCTTCTGCATTTCCCTATCTCTCGCTCTGTAAGAGGAAATGGCCTTGCGATTAGCATTCAGAGGAACTTGTGAAATGACACAGCTGTGCTGTAAAAACACCATCCCACAGACTTTGCTGCCAGAGGAACTCAACAGCCAGCACTGTTGAGAGTGCAGGACTCTCCCGAGAGCAGGACTGCCCAAGCCATGGAGCGAGAGCCGATGCGCATCAGGGAGGGCTACTTGGTTAAGAAGGTAGGTGGGTAAGAGAAAACTAACTCTGAACAGGTTGGGAAGATGTAGGGAAACATTCTGTGAAATCCTGGCAAAGAGGTAACAGGAAATAGCCACAACCTACTCAGTTGCATTTAATTGGGTTAAACATCAAGGAAGAATAGTGAGATTAAAGGTGTCACCTCACCTTGGCCTCGAGACAGTGTGTTGGGCCATGGGCACATCCATTCTTTGGGAAGGTGGTTGCTGCTCCACAGCATGCTCTCCTCTGGAGTATTTTGTGGCACAGCCCATGGGAAAAAGCCTTTACTTTTATTTAAATCCACAGTGGCTTCCATTGGCAGAGCAACTACAAGGGAAAATAAATGGTGATCCAAAAAATAACAATGTTTAACTCCATAGTAGGATGGGTGTAATTGTGGCTTGTTCTCCTTGAAACACAAACTGTAGTTATTTTAGCACCAGTCAGACATTCCCTGGAAGCTCATATCTTCCTCGGGTACCACCTGAAGAGTGATTCATTGAACATAATATGTGATTTATTGATGGCAGGGCAGCATGTTTAACACCTGGAAGCCAATGTGGGTTGTGCTCTTAGAAGATGGAATTGAATTCTACAAGCGGAAGGCTGACAACAGTCCCAAAGGGATGATCCCACTAAAAGGAAGCTCTATTCACAGCCCATGCCAAGATTTTGGTAAAAGAATGGTAAGTACTTGTTCAATAAAAAGAATTGACAGTATACTTATACTTCTGGAAGCACTGAAAAGGCAAAAGGCTGGTGGCTGCCAATTCCTGGCACTCATCCTAGTGGCAATTCTCATCTGCCTTGAGAGGTCACAAGCAGGCTTGGAATTGTGCACTATTTGAATTCAGGACACTTCAAGAGGACTAATTCAGAAAGCATTCTGGGGGTTGGTTGGTTTTTATTAAACTTCTGAGTCTCTCAGACAGCAGAACTAAATTTTATTGGTCTGAAGACATTTTGCAGCTGAATGGCAACAACTCCTGTATTAAATATAAATCTCATTGCTACAGAATAAAGCTGTGGGAAAATATTTTGTGAGCAGGAGAAGCATTTATTTTTCGTCAAGGAACAACTGGCTTGCTCAGACAGGAAGAACATAAATGCTGTGACACACATATTTTGTTACAGGGTTCCTGAAATATAATTTTTGGTAAACCAGAAGTTCTCGTATGAGCAAAGAATCATACTATTAGTCTACTCAGTTTCATCAAATAAGTATCACATCCCCAGGAATTCCTCTGAAAAAGGGGTCCCCCAGAATCTGGAACCACACTTTAAAGATATTTACTCCACAGGTGCCTGACTAAAGATAGAAGTCTCTGTGAGAGTATTAGAAAAATAGAAAGTGTGAGACTGCTGAGACAGTGAACTTTACTTTTTCATGTGAGTAAAGTGAGGATAATTAAACCTGTCCTTAGGTTTTGTAGTTAGTGGAATCAGGATCCTTCGTTTCAGATTTTCAGATTTGGACCTTCTGGCTTTATTTTTTCCTTCTTTTCTTTCTTCTACTTTCTTTCCTTTTTTCCTTTTATTTTGGGGGTGGGGGGAAAGGGGTGGTGTTGGTTTGGGTTTTTTTTGTTGTTGTTGTTGCAGAACCCATATTTATATGAAAACACCTGTTTTATATTTAAAAACCCACCTTGATTCTTACTAAGTATTTTCAGAGTTACATCTATCAAGAGAAAGGGCCTGTTAACTTCCAAGCTGTCTTTGAGGCAGATAGAAAAAGGATGGTACAGGGAATAAAGATTGCTGTTAATCCTGTGCTGATTATTTTAACAAGGTTCAGCACAACACTCCTTAGTCTGTACATGAGGTATGAAGGGTACTATGTTCAAGAATATCACAGACCTACATTGTAATGGTAGAAATTAAGTTTTTCTCACAAAACATCCTTTTCCAGACAGTTTTGTGTTGAGTTTTGTTTTTTTCCTTTAACTCCCAGAAAGGCACTGCCGTCATTATTGTTTCATAGTAGTTGCTTGAAAATGTCAGTAACACATTTACAGTAAAGGAAAAATAATTCACCAGCAAATGTGCATTCAACAAAGTAGACATAGAGAGAGGTCTGAAGTACCTGATGTCTGCTGAAGGCAGAGTGAGAGAGATCCTCACCTGCCCAAAGGGTTTCTTTGGGATATACCAGTCTCCAGAAGGTGCAGTATCTGTATGGAAGGGTGATAATCTCTGAAGATCATTCCTTTGGCTGCACTGGGTTTTGTGTCATGCTTCATTTTACATTAGGTGTTTACATAATGAGATTTATGTTATGTTTCATTTTGCTTCCTGGGGTCTTTTCTGAGGGATAATAAAGACAAAGAGAGACCCAGGAGTCGAGGCACACAAAATAGCTTTTCATAAATGATATTTTCTGCAGGGTTTGCTGAAGTCAGTGGAAACAATCAAAATTACTTCAGCAGGCTTTGGAGCAGATCCTCCATATGAGGTGGTGAGATTGTTCTGCAAGTCCATAAACCAGCCCTGGAGATGGATTTTCTCTTAAAATTTGCATTGTTCAAATAGTAAAAAATTGAACATGTTCATTCATATGAGCAAAGCTATCTCCAGGATTGTTCTTACAAATATAATATGATTAAACCTAAGTTTCTAGGTGTATTCCTTCGAAATGTAGTATGTTTATTTTTGCATCATACATTTTACATCTTTGCTGTACTGTTGAATTCAATGCCTCTGCATTCTGTTCTGGCTTCTCACTGGTTATGTGTCAAAGGATACATTTTTCCTCCTGTGGGAATTATTCTGGTTCTTAAGTTTACATGGCTAGAAATGAAAGAGTATTTTCAGGACAGGAATTATATGGTAATTATATGGAATATGGTGAATAGTGGGATAATTCTCCTTGGGTCAGTTTTAAGTATAGTCTCATTTGTCTGGGTCCAGTTTGGAGCAGGGCTACAAACAAACTTCTATATTTCTCTGGTTAAATTTCTGAATCAGCTTGTGTATCTGCACCAGGACCTTGTTTGAAAGCTCAGAGAACATCACCAACATGCTTGGTTTACTACATCAATTGCAAAATGCAGGTGCTGAGGGGGAAAGAAGCAGTCTTGGATTTGTTAAACACAGATAAAGGTTGTTCAGAAGGGGCTGCAACTGCATATTTTGAGATTATATTTCAAAATGCATTCACCACTATTTGCTGTCCTTGATGTGATGTTTGATCATTGTTTAATGTAACATAAATTTTTATATTCTTCAGCTTTTTCCATTTCCCCCATGGTTTTCTTGTGGATAGCATTATTGTGTTTGGTTGCTCATGGTCAGATTCATTTCTCCTAGTTTAAACTATCTAAAATGTTGGTATTTACTTTAGTGTAATGGTCTAATTTTCTCAAAAACACAACCAGATATACATCATCAGAGGGAGGCTTGGTCACATCTAGGACTGGAGACTCAACCTCTTTACCAATTTCAGAGGAAGCTTGGAATTCTGTCTAGCTTACTGGCCTAACTTTGTAAATGCTAAAAAGAAAGGGCTTTGCCAGTCTTCTCCATGTGCTGAAAATGAAAACTCTTCTTTAGCATTTCACTGTTGCTTCTCAGCTCTTTGAGAAGGTTATTTTTTTCCTTTGGTAATAAATCTTGTCAATGCTTTGGTGTTTCATTCTGTTAATCTGGAGTGTTAGCTTGACTGTTGAATATTGGGATTTGGATAGATCTGTCTTTTTGCTTTTCTCATGCACTGTACATTGATTTTCAGTACGTAGGTCTTTCCTGCATAACAGAAAAGGTGAGTATTGCTGGAAATATGAACAGTATCAGATAAGAAAAGGTTGCTTTTCTGTCTGAGATGGATTTTTGAGGACTCATTGCTTTGTAAGTTTGAAATGTATCTTCCATGAAATTCGGTTGGACTTCTGCACAATTTCAGGGTGTCAGAACTTTTCCTGTTGGCCATTGTTTGAAAAAGGCTTGCAAGGGATGTTCAGAAATGTTACAAACATGGGATTCAGCAGAGCCATTCAGTGTGTTGATTTCACTGATGTAAATTTGCTGCTCTTTGGCAGTAACCTTTGCTTTCCTTTCCCTCACCACGTCATGCTGTTGGCTTGTGGCTTAGCTTGGCATTTTTAGACACCTGCTGAGTCAGAACCTGTGATATTTATTATAACACAACTACAGAACAAATTAGTGTCACTAATGGGGAACTATATTTTAGAGGAAGTGGAAACATGAGTAATTAGATCCAGATTTTCCATTCAGAAGATCACTGGATGGAAATGAGTTCAAACAGTGTAAACTTTGTTGGATAGTTTTGGGTTTTTGTTTTGGTTTTTTTTTTGGTTGATTTTTGTTGTTTTGGGGTTTTTTAGTTGTTTTGTTTTGTTTTCCAGGTTATTTTTATTTTTCTGTTCACAACTACCTCTAGAGGATCTATTCTCATTTTTGAATAAAACAGTCTTTCCATTGTTGCTAGTGTGTTTAGATAGGTGATTCTAAGGTGTAGCCAAGGATTGGATACATCATCTCCCTACTAAGCCATTAAAGGCTTACTAGGCTGCAAATGTACTCAGGTACTCTCCAGTGTATGGCTTTTTTCCTCTTGTGAGTCAGTAGCTGAATATGGTGTGGGGTATTTTTCCTCCTTAGATTGCTCACAATGTTTGTGTCTCTAAACAAATTTACATCCATTGTAAGCCTGCAGGGCCTGGGTGCTTCTGAAGCCTTAGGATTTTAACTTTCATATTTTTCAAATCCTCTACTGCTTTAGTGTATAACTCTAAAATTCCATATAGAGTGTTAGCTACTGTCTTCACATTTTGATCAGACAAAACCATTCCTCTAGGCCTGAAGCTCAAGGACACCTCCCTGTCTCAGACCCCAAAAGTATAAACAAAAGTGGGTTGTGAGGGGAATCAAACTGGGAGTATAAGACTTCATTACCTGAAGCTGTAACTGGAAGATTAACATATTAAGATATTTAAATGGACCAAATTTGTATCTGTCTGAAAAACTCGTGACCGTCGTCCACCTGGGGTGTAGCCTCTCAGAGACTTCTGACTGCCCATGGTGTATCTATTGAAGGCCTTCAATAAATACCTGCTTTTATTCTCTTAATCTTGTCTAGGCTCTGTTCCAGGTAGCCACTCCAAGGAATCACTTCAGCCTTTCAGCTGTGTTGAACTTCCCAGCAAAAGTTACAATCAGCAGCTCTATTGGTGCCACACACCTTGCTGACAATGTCAGGGATCAGTCACAGTGAAGTAACAAAAGCATTCAGTTATGTGCAGTGTTTGTTCATCGTTTCCTTCAGAGTTTCTATAATTTTAAGATTAAAAGTGTTTTTAATTAAAAGATTAAAGTGTCTCTAAGGCCCTTTCCATAGTCCTTAGGCATAGGTAAGCTCTGTGTTGTGGTGGTACTAACTTAATTGTGCCCAACTGGCTACACCAAAGTAACTTTTTTAAAAAAAACCTCCCATAATTTATCATTCCAGTTTGTCTTCAAGCTCACTGTGGCCAAGCAGCAGGATCACTTTTTTCAAGCTGCCTACCTGGAGGAGAGAGACGCCTGGGTGCGGGATATCAAGAAAGCAATTCATCACATAGATGGAGGCCAAAGGTTTGCCAGAAAATCCACAAGAAAATCTATCAGATTGCCTGAAACAATCAATCTGAGGTTTGTTCTCACAGCTCTGAGCCCCCATTTACTTCCACCTGTAGTCAGTGTGTCAGACATGTAACCTTGGTCAGGAAGAACAATCAGAACCGGGAAGCTCTTTTAAATATACTATCATTTACAAAGAAATGCTTATTTATCAAAGGTTTTTGCTGATAAAAGGATTTCTGGGCATACTGTGGTGAAAGAGGATACACAGCCAAAGTGTGACTCCTCCAGGAGAAGAATTTTATATAATAAAACATTTATTACAAAAATATTTTAGACCTTTAGTTTCCTCTCAAAAGAAATGCTGATGTTAGCCTAGTTTTTGGATGGTGAGGAGACTGTGGTGCCTGCCAAAGGACATGAAACTGGCAAAGGCAGAAGAAGAGATAAAGGGAAGCAATCTGTACTTTTAAAAATCAAGAATGACTTATTTGCTGTCTCTGAGCTGTAAATACCAAGATAAAAATGAGCCTGAAGCGTTCTTATAAGACAGTAAAAATGCACAGGGCCAAGATCATCTGAGAGCATGCAGGCTCTGGCACAGGGAGAGGTTTTCTGCTCAGCCCAGAACCTTTGGGTGAACACAGAGCACAGCAGTGAAATGAGCTCTCCCACTGGGGCTGTGGGGCCCTGTGGAAGTGCCTCAGCAGTGGGCGTACTTCTCTTCACGCTACAGTCACCACAAGTAGTTGCACTCTCAAAACAGGGAGATGTGGTGAGCCCTTTGTGCACTCCACCCTCTGCTCCCACAGCTGTGAGGTAACGTAGTGAGACCTCCAGGCTTTGCAACTTGAATTTTTCAGGAGATGCAGGAGATGAAACTACGCTGTGTTACATCCCTGCAGAGAGCCACGTGCCAACAAAACATGAAGCCCCCATGAATGACAATGACATTATTGTACAAACTGGCAAAACCTTTTGCTAACAGCTTCTGTGGTTCTTTTTATGCACAGTGCTTTGTACCTCTCAATGAAAGATCCTGAAAATGGAATAAAGGAGTTGAAGCTGGAAAAAGATAAAAGAGTGTTCAATCACTGCTTTACAGGTAAGGAGCTCCTGTCCCTCTATTCCATACAATAAAGGGAGCACAGAGTTGAAAAACTAAAGAGATAAAACAGCTCTAAGTTCTGTAGAGCATAGAAAGGTTTGATGTTTCCTTGACTAACCCAGGAGATGCTCAAAGGATATATCTTGGAAAAGTGTTCAGTTATGGCCATGGTAAACAAAGGAGAAGGATGAAATTTTACCAGTGTCAGAAAGATTGGAGTAATCTTTTGAGTAGATTGTAGTGTGAAACACTTAACTACAGAAAATTCATTCCATTCTGAATTTTTCATCACCGAAAGGTGTCCCATTGTAATTCCTGCTTCTCTCCAAGTCAAATCTGTGTTTGTGCAAAAACACATGGATGTAGCACGTGAGGACATTGTTTAGTGGTGGACATGGCTGGGTTAATGGTTGGACTGATGATCTAGAGCTCTTTCCCAACTTCAGTGATTCTGTGATTCTGTAAAAGTCACCCTGTTTCCAGGAGCATTATGTTAGTAGCACAGCAGCCTGGAAGGCTGCCTTTTCCAGGCTTGGGCAATCCCTGTTTTTGAGGCTTCCTAGCTCTGCTCTGCATCCCCTCCCAGCTCTCTTCTCCCTCAGGAATGGTGTTTGAGAGCTGTCCTGGCCCCTGCCATCAGCTGGCAGGGCTGTGCCTCACTAGATGGTCAAGAACTTCCCTAGATTAGCTTCCCACGTTGTTGCTAAGAACATTTCTTCAGGAGATTGATGAATACATGGAGCAGGCTTGTTTCCTGTGTGCTTTTAGGCTTTTTCATGTCTGTCTTGGCTTGTGGCTGACATTTTGTTCCTTTGTAACCAGGCACCTGTGTGATTGACTGGCTGGTGTCCAGCAGCTCCATCCGAAATCGCAAAGAGGGTCTCCTGCTTGCCTCTTCCCTCCTGAGCGAAGGCTACCTACAGCCTGCTGGGGATACATCCAAGGCAGCTGCTGAGGGACTGTCAGACACCCCCTTCCTAGATCTCAGTGATGCCTACTACTACTTTGTGAGCATTGTATTCTGGTTTTCTATTGTCTCAGACTTATTGATGCTCTGCTCTTCTCATGCTTCTTCTTGGGCTTCTTAAATCCTGGAGGAAAGATCGTACAGGAATGGAGAAATCTATCTTAATTGTCTTTTTCCTGTGAGAATGAGCCTGCTCACTTTCATAGCTGTTACCAGACAGGGTTTTTTTCTGGCACCCTTCTAAGTGTGAACTGAGTGCTGAGAACAAGCTGGGTTCTTTTTAACTTAGCCCTTGTTCCTGGTAATTGTACTGGTGACCAGAATTTAACCATCTGTTTTCCTGTTGGCTCAGTGGAAGAGAAGAGAGTAAATCATTATCACAGAATGGCAGAAGCTACAAACCCATTTTTGTGCAGAGCCATCAAATCTGCCTCAGTGTGAGTGTGCACCCACACAGCTTGTCTGTGAGCAAAGAACTAAAAGTTTTTTTAATATCCCCCAGTAACCTGTCCTGGGTGTCACACCCAGCCTTCTCCATTTATTACTTCATATTCTGTGGACTGATTTGAAGAACTTGAAATATCACAGCCAAATACTCTTTGAAAGATATTTGGCTTATGGACTTAGGCTAACAGAAAAGCATGCTTTCTATAAAGTGAAAACAAGTAAATTGGTATTACAAATCTATTTGTATTTACCACATGGAATCATTTGGCCTCAGCAAAATGACTCTCCCACCACTCATTTGTTTTCCTGAATGTGTCTGGGAGACTTTACCAGTTCAGCAGAGATACTGCTGGTAAAGACAGCCTTGTGGCCTCCTGGGATGCTTCTTGTAGCAGCCTTTGTGTACACTGCTTGCTTCTGCATCATTTCTAGTGTGATTCAATACCAATGTGGTGTGAGGATGCCACAGTAAGTCAGTGTCTGACTTGGTATCACAGAACTGTAGTCCCACCTCACACTGAAATGTGATTTGGAGAGCTCCTCAAGCCAGACAGTGGATTTTTCTGTGAGGGATATTCCAGTGATGATGATGTGGTCCTAAAAGAAGAATTCAGAGGCACAATTGTCAAACAAGGATGTTTGCTGAAACAGGTCAGTATTGCCCATCTTCCATCCTGTCACTAGGATGATGTTACATGGATGCAAGATTACTCTTTTACACTTAAAAACTTCAGGTAAGAGAGAAACTACCCTATGGCATCTCCACACTTGGCAGATTTCATCTCTGTCCCTCTTGCTTTTGCACAAGGAACACTTGCTGCAGCATGGCAGCAGGACTCTGGACAAATATTGCAAGGTTTATTGCTCTTACCACAAAATAAAACAGTTAATAGCTTTAATTAGGAAAGAGTGCTAAGACAGAAGATGTGACTAGTCATTGGTACAATGCAAAACTGACCTCAGGTTAAAAAAGCTGCTGCTCCTGTGTCCCTCTGGACACACAACTGGATTCAGTTGCCAGTTTTCATGGACATTTTCAGCATGCTTGAGCCAAGGAGTTGTTTCAGTCACTAATGTTCGATGTGTAAGACAGAAGGTAACTGGATACCTTCCTTTACAGCAAAACTTTAAGCTATTCAGTGAATGTCATGTTTCCAGGGCCATTGCAAGCAGATATTAGTGAACTGAAGGCAGAATCAGGATTCTTCAATGAATAAAATAGGTCAGGTGTAAGGGACCAGCAACAATCCTCTGGTCCAACAGCCTGACCACTTCAGGGCTGACCAAGGGTTAAAGTACATTGTTAAGGGTTTTGTTGTCCAAAAGCTTCTTACACATTGACAGACATGGTGCACTGACCACCTCTCTAGGTAGCCTGTTGCACTGTTTGACCACCCTCTCTCTAAAAAAATGTTTCCTAATATTGAGTCTGAACCTGCACCATTAAAATAGTCCTTGAGAGCCTAAGACCTTTTTGGTGGTGCTCACATGTACTTCTCTTGATTAATCAGTTCACTCAAAAGCATTGGAAGAATTTAGACCCACACCTTGCTGCTCTTTTACTCTGTCACGTTCACACCAACCTAATTAGTAAGAGCTTCCATGCAAACAGTAGCTAATTGAGAAACCTGCATTTTGAAATGCCAGAGGAAATGATTCATGACACTCTTCCACCAGTGTGAGTCTGCACTTGGTCACCCTCAGTGAGTTGTGGGTCATTGCTTGGAAGGGTCACTGCTTCTGCTGAAAATGCTTTCAGTGGGTCTAAACCTCCCACACCCATTCTTCTCAGTCATGACAACAGGCCACAAGGCACCTACGCCCATATTTCTGCCTGAGCTTCTCAGCCATCAGCCCTCCAGGGTGTTTAAGCCAGATAAGCTCTTTCTTTGTTATCTTTGCAGGGACAGAAAGACTTTCAGATCATCCTTGCCAATAATTCAAGCCATTTTTTCTAGCAAGCAGATAAACCAAATTCTCACAGATCTCACATGAGTGTCATGACTACCAGACTGTGTGATATGTTTAGGGGAATCTCCCATGTTGAAACTCCTCTGCTTTACACAAAAAAAAAAACCCAATCAAACAAACAAAAAACCACAAACAAAACAAACAAACATAAAAAAACAAAACAAGAAAAGAGGGACATAAAGCATTTTGACAGTCCAGTTCTTGTGCAAAAGATTGGAATGTAGAAAAGGCAGATTCAAGTCCTACTCCAGTGAATATTTCCTATCCATAATATTCAGGTCTTTTTCCCTTTTGTGAATTGCTGTTCACATTTGAACATTTGCCTGTCCTCTCATGTGTGGGTAAGATTTGCATGCAGGCAGAGCAGCTCCATGACATTCCCGGTTTTGAATTTTCCTAGGGACATCGGAGGAAGAACTGGAAAGTGAGGAAGTTTGTTTTAAGAGATGATCCTGCATATCTTCACTATTATGATCCTGCTGGAGTAAGAGAGATTCAGTTTATTTCCCTGTTTGTTTTGAATCTAGTGCCTCTAGTACCTGGAGTATTTGCATGAGACTGTGACAGGGACGATCAGGCAGGACAGTGGGACTTTTTGTTCTCACATGGCCTAGCCACCCTCTGGAAAAGCAGAGTGAAGGATAGTTTCTGGGGCTGCCAAGTCAGGGTGGCAAGTGCCACCCAGACCTGGCAACAAGTAACACTGAACTGTATTTTCCCCTCTTATCTGTGATTAATTAGAATTAATGAGTACTCTCACTTGATCAAATTAGGTCCTGTAAATGAACACAATATAGTGATTTTTTTCAGTTGATATTTGAAGTATTTGCCGTGCCAAGCTGAGACATGGCATCCTATTTCTTGTGCATTTCTACTGGGCCCATTCCCATGCTAAATACTCTGCAGATCCTGAATTCTAAATCACAAGAGATTCCTTATTTATTTGTAAGCCTTTCTCTTACCCCCATCCCTCCATGTCACACACAGACTGAAGATCCCCTGTTCTCTCAGGTGAGACATACCAAGTAATCAAATAGTTTTGTCTCCATTCTGGAAATCTAGGCATAATTAACATGCTGCTGGTTTCAGAAGTGTTGCATCTCATTTTGATTTCATGTCCTCCCCAGGGAGAAGAACCACTGGGAGCAATTCACTTGAGAGGCTGTGTGGTGACAGCAGTGGAAGATATGCCAGACAGTAAGGAACCATACTGAATGAGCTCTCTAATAAGCTTTTGGTACAACCCCCTCCTTTCAATCTGCCTAAAATCACAAGTGTTTTATATCCCAAAGCAACCTATGTTCAGCAATTCAGTAATTCTAGTAACTGGTCTCTCTCTTGCTGCCTGAATTAATGGGGAAGGGTAATGTGGTAAAGGCAGCAATAGAGAATCTTGTGTGTTGTCAGTACTTTAGGGGAAGCTGGTCAAAAGGGTGACACAAACCCTCTGTTAGGACAACTGGCCTTTAGGCAAAGTAAACTGAGTTTGATCTCTTTAGTTAATGAATTTGGGAGGGAAGCTTCATGCTGGAAATGGTTATGCCAACAAATTGTTACTCTCCACCTTCTCTTCCCTCCCAAAGCTAGTTGTGGGAACAGAAATGGTGCTGCTGCAAGGACCAAGAAACATTAATTTCATGCATTCTCCTCTCCACAAGAGAGGCTGGCTGTCATATCCAGCAAGATAGTTTATTGGCATCTCAGGAAAGAAACAGATGGATGTGACATAAACACAAACATCTTGTTTTCATAGATGGCAAGGCATGGGAGGGTTTGATCTGTCTGCAGGATTGCAGATCCTTCCATGGTTTGAGACCAACAAACCAGAGACTCCTGAAGGTGAAACATGCAGAATTCATGAGGGTTTCTCTAAGAGAGATACTCCTCTCTTGGACCCAATCTTTGTGAAGGCCTGATCAGGCTCAGCTGTAGAAAGAAAGGAGATCCTCTTACAGTGTGTAAAGGAGGAAATATTGAAAGTACAAGACTTTTTTTGCTCATAGATGACTTTCTTATTTTTTCCCTGTAGCCAAGAAGTATGATGATGAGAACATCCTCTTTGAAATCATCACAGCAAATGAAATCCACTATTACTTGCAAGCGGCCTCATCCACAGAGCGTACAGAGTGGATCAAAGCAATCCAGTCAGTTGCTAGGACTGGTAAATGAAGATGATCTTCCAACAAGAAGACAGATAAATTAAATTAGTTACTCAAAACAGAATTTAGCCTTTCACCAAGAGAAAGCAGTATCATCCCAAAGGGCACAAGCCCTGTGGGGTTGAAGACTGGGTAGAAGTTTCAATTCTACAGTTGGCACTAACAAACTAACATTTTTTCACTTGTGTTATGGTAATATTTTACTAAATTATCACATAGAACATGCCATATTAGTGTGTGTTTCTTAATCAGTCTGCCTTGAGAAGGCTGTACCTGTTGCCATAGCTGATAGTGGGAATCTCACCATTAACAGGGGACAGAGGCATGGCACTGACAGAGAGGACCTCAATTAATCACCCTCTTCAGCCTGTGATGTGTTTCAGGATTTTCATGTATTTCAGTCTTCTCCAGACGATTTTTTCACTTTCTTCTTTACCAGATCAGGCTGCTGCTTGTTCACTGATACAAATAATGACATAGATATAAGGAAAAGAAGTAATTTGGAAACCTGATCCACTCCTTTATAATCTGTCAGCATTAAGGGGGGGAAGAATGCAGACAACTATGGAAACACCATGTGGAACTGAGTGTGAACCCATGACAGCAGTATGAGGAAAAGTCTCTCCCCACAGTATTTCAAACACAAAGCAATCTCACTTCAAACTCCCTATCACCCAGTTTTAAGCCTTAGCAAATTTTTCCACAACAATCTGCCCTGGGACCATTGTTTCTCTTTATTTATGTCTACAAGCAGATGCTGGATTGTCATGTACTATTTGAATTAAGAATCTTGCAGCAGAAGGGAAAGGAGGCAAGGGTTGGTTACTTGAACTACTGATTGAAGTGGTTTCAATTAGATTTTCCTTTTTTAATCTCTAGGAATTTACTGAGTCCTTGATTCTGTGCCTTAGTAATCTAAGAGAAACCTTTTGCTTATAACTGAAATAAAAGTTTTTATTTGATAGGGTCAGTTCACCTGATTAATCCTTGTATTTTTGTCTGACTGTATATCAAACAAACTTCTAAGTCTTAAACTCTAAGGAGAAGCTGAAAATCAAGTTCATGTCAGAATGTGCATATAGGCTGTTCCTAGTTTGAGCAAAGGAAACTTCAAAAATCTTTAAAACTCTGTTAATAGATCTAATAAGATACCTTATCCTTAAGAATTCTTATTGGAATCTCTTCCACCTAAAAATAAATGTGGAGCTAAAGCTTCTCTTCAGTTGTGCTTAATTATACCTGTAACTGAGCTAATGAGCCTGAAGCCCTGTTGCCTTGCACAACTTATCCCAAAGAAAACACAGCCTTGCAGGAGCAGCAGGCTGAGACACTGCATCATCATGTCCACTTAAGTTGGCCAGCAGAAATCAGCTTCTGGCAGGCATTTCCCATCTCTCATGCAAGCTAACGAGATCATTGAAGTCTGATATGTCATTCTGAGGAAGGAAGACTTATGGTAAAAAGATCCACTGTTTGCTCAGTCTGCTCTCTTGATAATTGCTGCTTCTTGTTGCTTATTTTTGCTTTCAGAGCTCACTAACCCAAAAATACCCAAGGGCACAGGAAGAGAAAAAAAACCACCCCACACAACCAAACAACAGAAACTTGTCCAGCTGACAAAAAAAGAGGGACGTGACTGCCACAATTTAATAAAACTAAAATGTTTTACCAGTCTATGACCTTACCATTTAAACTTGTGCCCAGTCCAAGGCACAGCTGTCCACTTATGAATGGGGTTTTCTCAGGCAGAGGATGACAGCCAGTGTACTTATAGAAAAGCTCTTATGTTTGTACCATCCTATATTAACAGGGTCTGTGACCCCATACTTAGTGCTTCAGAAGACACATTTCAAGGACTTGTAGGTGTCTCTGCTTCTTGGCAGCAGTGAGAAGACCTTATCCAAGGGAATTCAGTATTGGAAAGCAAGTACACGTCTATCAGAGATGATGAGGCCAGCCCAGTAACTCAGAAGGAATGGAAGAGGCACAGATCCTGAATACTGGCACAAAGAAGAAAGAGACAGCTTTGTGCAAGGAACGACTAAACAAAAGGGAGAAAACAGAAGAGCAGAACTACATGTGTCATTCTTCCTCTAACTTTCACCTTCTGTTTAAATCACACTCCTACTACACCCTCAGCAATTACTACGTTAACATCAATTTCTTTTTTACTTATGAAAAAGAACTAGTCTAAAGGACAGCAAAATAAACAAACCATTATGGATAAGGATTGTATTTAATACCTTCAGCTACTGAAAGACTTGTATAATATAATATAATCTCATATAAATATCCTCTTAAGTTCATTTTTGTCTTGCCAGAACTTGCACTCAGCAATTTTCCCTCCCATGGGACACTGCCTACGTGCTTACTACAGTCAGGGTCAGATTTTTGGGAATGTTGACTAACCACACACCCATAAAAACACCAACACAGACACAACGCTCCTACTTCCACTTTAAAATAAAGTTTAAAAGAAAATGGTATGAAGAAAACCACAAACACAGATGATGAAAATATAATAACCCCAGCCCAACAAGCTTTCAGCTACAGGTGTTAGTACTTCTTATAATCCAACAGACAGCACATATGGAGGTAGTTTGGACTTAATATGTCTCTAGCAATTTTTTTCAAAGAGCTCCTTACTTTTCCAGCCCCACAGCTTTCTTCTGAAGGGTAAGGTGATATAATTTTGTTGATAAGTATAGCTATTTTGGTGCTCTTCTTTGCAGTGTGCTGTCTTTGCTTTTTATTTGAAAGAATAGTTAAAGTGTGAAAGGTCTACTGAAAATGTGTTTTAGTAATAGAACAGTTTGCTTAGTAATATTTAATCAAAGTTTGTTCATAAAGATGAAAAAACTCATTAAGGCTTCTGATGTATCTCACATTTACTGTCAATCCTCTCTTTTAGAAAAGTTTTTGTTTTAATTTCTTCTGGCAATATTGTAAATAGCTCTTCAATGCAGTAGTACTTCTTCTGTCTTTGGCTTAGAGCTCACTTTACTGCAAATGTTAAACAGCTATTTCCCCACCCCCTACAAGCTTGGGTAACACTGAAATCCAGAAAAAAATTCCTTAAATAATCGTTTTGGCGGGGGCATTTAAGAAACATTTAAGTAGGGTGGGAGTTTTTGTGGGAGGGCAGTGGGCTGGGGATGGTTTGGGTTTTTTGGTTGTTCTTTTTCAGTTTGTACCTTTTAAAACTGGAGGAGACTATAGGAGGAACTTGAAAAAGCAAAATGAGTAGATATTAGTTCTCTGCAGGCTGTTGGTATTTCTGTGGGTGCCTTCAGTTTGTGTTTTGAAAAGTGCACATATTTTTTGTCTGTGAACTGTGATATTCTTGTTAATATATAAAGATTTTTCTGTGCTCAAGGTGAACTCTGAAAACAAGGGGTTCTCCTTTAGCTGTTACTCAACAGACTTCTTGAAATAGAACTTCTCATTTGGTTTCAAAATAAGGTTGGGGAGGGGGGGGTTTGATTAGAACATAAAACTTCCTGCTTTGCATTTAGAACAAAAACTGTGGTTTTCCATACTTTGTTTCTGGTTCTTGTAGATTACTTAATTTTTTTTTCCTTCCAGTGTGGTAAAAGGGTGACTAAGTCAGTATGAAAGCTGAGTAAAATGCTGCTTTTCATGATTTATTGGCCTTTCATGTTAAATGTAATGGTAACCATTAACCAGTTAATTATTGAATTAATAATTAAGTATTGAATATTAATAAACTGGAATGATCACGGGAGAGGAAAAAGACCTGGGGATTGACTAGTTTAATTAAAAAATCCAAAACAACTAGACACCCTAATCTTCCTATATCCTCAAACTCTGATATGAAAAGGACATTGAGAACTCTCTTCTTAGAGTATTGCTATTAGCCCCTGTCTCTTTATCAAATATACTAGAACAGCCTATTACAGACTAATACACCATCAATTATGCAAATCAGTGTATGATCAGTCTTTTCATGTACCTGCTTCCATACCTTAAGGAAAAGTCTGAAAATCCTTTCTTAATCACCAAAGTATATCAAAAGAAAATCAAGAAACCATCTCTTTTTGTCCTCCACTGCTTCTGCTGTATGTGTATGCAGGTATCCTGCTTTTGAAAGCTTAAGTTGCTGTTTCCCAAGTACATGATGGTTAAAGCACAGTAACAAAATCAATGCACATGTGTGAGGTATTTTTGAATAATAGGAAGAGTTATTTAGATCAGGCTTTTAACTCTCTTATGTAGTTTTTTGCTAAAAGGAAGTATTTCACGATTCTGGTATACAACCGGTAAAACAAGATTGGTTTGTTGATTCGGGTTTCTCTTAATTAATATTTTTACTTAAAGAAAAGGTTTCTTTCCCAAGTTACATTTTCAGTTTTACCTTTCTTCTCTTCAGCTTTCCCTCACATCCTTCTTCTTATAACTATTTTGACCTAAACATCCTAAAAGACACTTGTGTTTCTGCTTTTAGGCATCACAGAATCTTGGATGAGAGAACATTAAATGCCTAGTGTCACTTTAGAATTGCTACAACATACCAAGTGTTCTTTAATCACCCCCTTAAAACAGCAATAACTTCCTCTCATCTCCTCACACTTGCAAGCTGTCCACAGATATGTAGTTGCTCTATGGGTGTTGGGTCCCTGTTTGAACAGGTCCCTATTGTTGTTATCTCTAAGCACACATGTTGATGAGCTACATGTTCAAATTACTTTAAAGAGCAGTATAAACTAGTGAAACAAATTGTCCACAGACCAGTGATGTTCAAAAATAAAGGTGCATTAGAAAAGCCAATTTAGTTTGTCCAGCCACACTAGGTGACTTCAGGCATGTTTTTGTCATTGGCTATGCTGTTAAACAGCTAAATAGTGTACCTGGTGAAACCTAGGTGTTAGGGTATCCCAGATATATTTGTTCAGTGCTCTTGTTCTTTAGCAAGGGAATGGAAAAGTAGTGGAAACTGTTGAAAATATTTCTTCAATGGAACAGACAAGTAAAGCTCTTATGGGGTATTGTAATTGTAATATTTCATTTATTAGTTGCTAGATACTGTTGCAAAAAACCCCAAACTTTATCTTTCTCAACTTTTCCTTTTTCCTGTATAAGGATTAAAGGCTTAAGGTGGCTGGTTTGTTTGACTGATTCTCTCTCTGTTCCCGGTTTGCTCAACCTACACCTTCAGTTCAAGTCTTCAAACTGAATTTTCCAATAGGCAGCTGGCAGCATCTTTTGGTTTTGGCATTCTGAGACCGTGGAAATGTTTAAAAGCAATATTTGGTGCTATGACTGATATATTAGCTCATGGCCACTGCTGTCCTGTGGCACCTGGAGAAGCCTTTGTCTACAGCTCAGAGGGTCTGGGATCTCAGCAACAGAACCACCCATGCAGTCAGCAACCCTGGACTGGCAAACAGCAGCTCTTTTGCCTCTTAAGGTTTTCAAGGACTGTCCATTAAAACCAAAATGTGCAGTTTAAACGACATTTTTAAACATGAGTCAAAAACCAGCTAGTGTTGTACCTAATCTGCATGCTCTAGCTGGCTGGGTTTTATTCCCCTCTGGCTTTGTAAACCCATAGTTGCTGGGCATGGGTTGGCAGTGCTGGACAGGGTGGTTCTGATGAGTTGGGGGAGATTGCAGCAAACTGTGCCAGTATATAGAAATATCCTCTTGGGTTTCATCTTGCTAGCTCCTCCAGGATCTCTGAGTTTGCAATCCATCGCCTCCCTCCTTTTTCCCTTTCAACCTGTAGCCTGGGCTTTTTGGTTTACCAGAATAGCAGAAGTGGGTCTAGCCCTTAGCACGGAGGCCTGAACCTCTCTGGTCCCCAGTGCTCAATTCTTAGTGTTGTGCTGATCAAGAAGCTGCTGCTCTTAAATGTAGCAGGTGACTTCTTCTATGGTTTTGGAGATGGACTTTTCTGAACAAGCAATATGGTGAAAACAACTGTGCCAAGTGTCAACATGCTCTTGGGAACCCAAGATACCTCATTCCAAGTTCATTTGGAGGGAAAGTAAAAAAAAATAACACCACCACTACCTCAGTCCTCCCAGCTGTATGCTTTTATTGTCTTCCTGTCACCTCTGGTGGGCTGAAACAGCTGATCCCAGCTCTGAGCTCAACAAAATAAGCCTTGAAATCTGAGTGGTCTGATTAAAAGTCTGTGGTGATTAAATACCTCATGCATGCCTTTTCATTTAGTCTGTTAAAGGCAATGGCCCAAAGCCACATCCTGCATCATGACGAAATAAAGCCACACTGTCAGCTAGTCACTTCAAAAACGGAGCACTGCAACAGTGAGTAGTTGCAAGGAAGGTTCTAACACCAACAGGTGTTATTAAAAACACCAGAGGTGGTTTTGGAGATGCAGAAATAAAATGCTGAGCTTCTGGTCTAAGTGCTGGTCTTTTTGATACCCAGCTGTGCAGCAGCTCACAGGGTTTTGTGCAGGAGGGAAGCCTTTTTTCCTCACAGAAGCCTGGCTGGTTTAAGGCCTTGTTGCACAGTTGAGTTGTGCAGGCAGGAAACATTTGCAAGCACCTCAGCACACACAAACTTCTGTTCTTGAAAGCACTTCAGAGTTGCCCATTTCACCTGGCTGGTGTTTCTTCCTTGACCTGTAGATGTGGGCACCTACAAGATAAAGCCTGTGAGCTCAGACACCTGCAATAAAGGGGAGTAAGAAATGCTAGATGTTTTCACCAGGTATTCTGCAATGATTAAGTAAGTGTGAGAAAATAAAGTGTAAACTGAAAGCAAGTTTAAACTAATGGTTTGTTTAAATGTCAGCATCATTGAAAAAAAAGATGCTACTGGATCTCAACCCAGATGACCACAGTCTGTATTTTCAGAGCAAAATTGCCTTGCTTAATCTACTGTTACTGGGTCCTGATAAAGGTAAGGGCAGGACCTGTTTTGGGTAAACTCATCTAATAAGGTCATCTTAGAAGGGCCTGATCTAGTGTCTTCCACTGTCAGAATGTACTCTGCCAATGTCTGCAGTAGTTGTTTTAAGGGATTTTAAAGTCTAATCAAGTTTCTTAAGCATGGTAGAAGTCTTTTTATAGAAAATTGGTGCCAGATTGGTGACTGAATTTAGCAGGAATGCCTCAAGCAATGGGGATCTTCCCAGCATTTTCTCTTTTATTTTATTCTTTAGTGTAAAGGAGGTAGGAAAAGGTGATATTCAGAATATTATTAAATTGATTTTATAATCACTTTTATATTGATTAATATGACAAGCAGCTCCTGTTTTACTAGCATCAGTTTTTAAAGTTGGTGCCAAAAATTGGTGCTGGTAAAACAAGGCCTGTGTGATGGAAGATTAGCACAGAGGAAAAAACTAAGTTTCTCATTGTGTTTTAACCTATGAAAATGTATCAAGTTGTGTTATCTCAGACAGTTATCTGAGTTACTTTGTTTAAAGCAGTTAAATTTTGCTCTGTTCCTTATCCTGCAAAAGACTAATGTGCATAGCTAACGTCTGAGAAACTGTTAGTTACCAGTCTGCTTCCACCCTGTCCTGGATCTGAGAGTCCTAATCCTAAAATTCCACAGCTGGGTAGTAGAGGTTCATCACTGCCAAGCACTAACACTTCTGTGAGTGCAAGTTCAGAGATCCTTGTGAGGATTCTGTCCCTTGGAATGGATACTGGGAATGTTCAGCTGATCCTGAGGTTGCCACCTCTTGTCCTCTTCTTCCCAGTGTTTGGATTTGTCCCTTCCCCAGCCTTCCTTTGTGGGCTCCCATGTGCTGCTGACATGATACACTTCATGTCAAAAAGTCAAACACACCTTTGAGGTTTTTTTTAAATATAAAAATCATCTCTTCCAAAACAAAAAGTGCAAACTGAAATTACAATCAGCGTATTTTTGACAGTGCAGTAGAACATTAAATTTATAAATATAAATTATGACTGAATATTTAGCAATATTTAGAATTTTACATAAAATTAATACAGTAAACTGCAATTAAAAAAAAATACACCCATGGTTGTTTTTTTTTTTTTTTTGAAAAGCTTCCATCATAAATTCATGATCAGTCCAAAATCATTCAAAATCAGTTTTGCAACTGCCAAACAGTGCATGTGCTATTGGCAAAAGTTGCTTGAGTTGCAAGAATTAGCACCGGTTTCTCATCTCTCAAGTTCTGCTTCCAAGATTTCTCCCCAGGTGTCAACGTCCATTGGATACATACTTTTCTCTGGCAAGCTGAATTGTGAAGGAATGTTACTGTATTTCCCACTAAGCCATTCTTGCTTCACTTTGCTTTTCCAGTAGTTTCTCAACAATGTAATCTGGTGGAAAAACATATATTCAGATCTTGGAAAGGAACAAATTTAAACTGCGTTCAATATAACTAAGTTTAGCACTAGAAGAGTACTGGTAGAAGAAGGATTTGAAATGTGCCTTTAGATATCTATACATTAAGCCCAGGAAGGGACTGAGAAGCAGAGTATGCTCCACTTCCAACTTTTCTGTTCCTGCCTCATTTTTTGGTGGATAAGATTAAAACCCCAAACCAGGAATTCATCTTACTCCTTAAAAGAGGCACCTTTTACTTTCCGTTTAGGTTGTGACCTTTATCTTTTGTTTGGAGGCTGGCTGAATTCTTCTTTTCTGCCAGCCTTCTAGGGCAAGAAAATGCAGAATTGTGTGTTTCTTCTATTTCAAATCCCCTCCAGATAAAACAATCAGTGCAGGGAGTTCTGAAAATTGCTGTAGAAAGATCTACACACTGAAAGGGTAACCACTATCTGCTCATGGCTGTGCAGTAACTTTGCTGAAATGTCAGAGTGCAGTGGCTGCTTTTGTTTCTTTTGCTGCTGCTTCTCTCTTTCCACCCCTCCAGTATCCCCCTGCTCCCAAATGCAGCAGCTAAAATAAGGTGGGAGATTACCCTCTAGCTGGCCCAGAGTAACCTGTGGAACCAGCTAACTAACCAGGTAGTTCAGGTCCTGATCTACCTCAGCTTCCAGCCTGGATTCAACACTGAGAGATCATTCAGCATGTTATGGAGCTGAACCTGCTGCAAACTCCTCAGAGCAGGAGATTTCCTAAACAGTTTATAAAGGCTCCTCGTTTCCTTTTCTGCTCCCCGTTACTTTTCCCCCTGCATGTGTGTCACTTGAGGTGTATTGAGACAGCGCTATCCAGGATGATTTTTCAGGAAGTCATTCCTAACCAGCAGATCTATTTCCACAAAATACCACCGGAGAGCACACACTGCTCCTGGCGGGGCTCTGTTATCTTCTCCCTGCCAGCCCTATCTGCGGGAGCGTGGGCTTTGTGCCACGTTAGGACTTGTGTATGACAAAGGTCAGCGCTGAGGCCGTGCGGGGAAGCAGGAGGACTAATGCCGAGGCGGACAGGCTGTGTCCCGGGTGGGAAAAGGGACAGCCTTGCTTTATCTCTCAGTGTATTTTACCAGATGTCCGTCTGCCAGGGATGCTCTACCGAGCCACGCTGTCACCGCAGCCGGTCCCCTCACAGCCCTAGGACGGGTGCGACGCGCCGATGTCATTTCCTTACACATTTCTATTGGCCCTCCTAGCAGCTTCGTCTGTGTCACTGCCGGTGTTGTGCAGCTGGAGGTGGATTTACCTTCCAGGAGAAGCCGTTCCCCCGGTCGCTGTCGATCTCCCGCTGGCAGACGGCGCGCACGGCCAGGCAGTGGTGCCGCCACAGCCGCTCGTTGCCCTCGATGGCGCGGTGCCAGCCCTTGCACGTCACGGACGCGTGGCACAAGCTCTCCACATCCAGCCCGCTGAAAATCCGCGAGCTGATCTCGGGAGGAAGGGCGGACNCACCCAGCCTTCTCCATTTATTACTTCATATTCTGTGGACTGATTTGAAGAACTTGAAATATCACAGCCAAATACTGTTTGAAAGATATTTAGCTTATGGACTTAGGCTAACAGAAAAGCATGCTTTCTATAAAGTGAAAACAAGTACATTGGTATTACAAATCTATTTGTATTTACCACATGGAATCATTTGGCCTCAGCAAAATGACTCTCCCACTACTCATTTGTTTTCCTGAATGTGTTTGGGAGACTTTACCAGTTCAGCAGAGATACTGCTGGTAAAGGCAGCCTTGTGGCCTCCTGGGATGCTTCTTGTAGCAGCCTTTGTGTACACTGCTTGCTTTTGGATCATTTCTAGTGTGATTCAATACCAATGTGGTGTGAGGATGCCACAGTAAGTCAGTGTCTGACTTGGTATCACAGAACTGTAGTCCCACCTCACACTGAAATGTGATTTGGAGAGCTCCTCAACTTCACTGGGAGGCTTTTTCAGTAAAAGGTTAGATTATTTAACAGTAACCATGACAACAACAACAAGAACAAAAATAATATTTTCTTTGGGGTGGCAAAAAGCAGGCTGGAAGGAAGCCAAAAGAAGCCAGACTGGTACATGTACATAAGCATGCAGCAGCTGTGTAATTTCTGTAACATTTCTCTTGTGGTCTTGCAGCCAGACAGTGGATTTTTCTGTGAGGGATATTCCAGTGATGATGATGTGGTCCTAAAAGAAGAATTCAGAGGCACAATTGTCAAACAAGGATGTTTGCTGAAACAGGTCAGTATTGCCCATCTTCCATCCTGTCACTAGGATGATGTTACATGGATGCAAGATTACTCTTTTACACTTAAAAACTTCAGGTAAGAGAGAAACTACCCTATGGCATCTCCACACTTGGCAGATTTCATCTCTGTCCCTCTTGCTTTTGCACAAGGAACACTTGCTGCAGCATGGCAGCAGGACTCTGGACAAATATTGCAAGGTTTATTGCTCTTACCACAAAATAAAACAGTTAATAGCTTTAATTAGGAAAGAGTGCTAAGACAGAAGATGCGACTAGTCATTGGTACAATGCAAAACTGACCTCAGGTTAAAAAGCTGCTGCTCCTGTGTCCCTCTGGACACACAACTGGATTCAGCTGCCAGTTTTCATGGACATTTTCAGCATGCTTGAGCCAAGGAGTTGTTTCAGTCACTAATGTTCGATGTGTAAGACAGAAGGTAACTGGATACCTTCCTTTACAGCAAAACTTTAAGCTATTCAGTGAATGTCATGTTTCCAGGGCCATTGCAAGCAGATATTAGTGAACTGAAGGCAGAATCAGGATTCTTCAATGAATAAAATAGGTCAGGTGGAAGGGACCAGCAACAATCCTCTGGTCCAACAGCCTGACCACTTCAGGGCTGACCAAGGGTTAAAGTACGTTGTTAAGGGTTTTGTTGTCCAAAAGCTTCTTACACATTGACAGACATGGTGCACTGACCACCTCTCTAGGTAGCCTGTTGCAATGTTTGACCACCCTCTCTCTAAAAAAAGTGTTTCCTAATATTGAGTCTGAACCTTCACCATTAAAATTGAGGGCCTGAGAACTTTTTGGTGGTGCTCACATGTACTTCTCTTGATTAATCAGTTCACTCAAAAGCAATGGAAGAATTTAGACCCACACCTTGCTGCTCTTTTACTCTGTCACGTTCACACCAACCTAATTAGTAAGAGCTTCCATGCAAACAGTAGCTAATTGAGAAACCTGCATTTTGAAATGCCAGAGGAAATGATTCATGACACTCTTCCACCAGTGTGAGTCTGCACTTGGTCACCCTCAGTGAGTTGTGGGTCATTGCTTGGAAGGGTCACTGCTTCTGCTGAAAATGCTTTCAGTGGGTCTAAACCTCCCACACCCATTCTTCTCAGTCATGAAAACAGGCCACAAGGCACCTACGCCCATATTTCTGCCTGAGCTTCTCAGCCATCAGCCCTCCAGGGTGTTTAAGCCAGATAAGCTCTT